TGATGGCGATGGTGGTGGTGGTGGTGATGATAGTGAACGTGATAGGGATGGTGGTGGTGGTGATGATGATGGTGATAGTGATGAAGGTGATGGTGAGTGCTACCACACTGAGCACCTACTGAGTGCCACACCAATTCTGAGCCCTGCCTGTGTTAATGCATTGAATGCAGATGGCCCAGCACTGTGGGATGGTTCTATTACCATTGTCCCAACTTCACAGCTGGAAGGAGGAGGCCGTCAAATAATTTTTCCAAGGTCACACAGCCAAAAGGCAGAGGGAGTGTAGGAGCTTCACCTATAATTCAATGTGATATTGGCAGTCAAGGTTCTGCAGAGCGCTTTGGGGTGGAGGGTGGGCAGGAAGAGGTGTATGCTCTGGAGTGGGTGAGGGGGCATTCAGGGACCATGTGTAGGACGACCCTGTTGAACAGCTGCTACTCTGAGCCTCTGGGGCTGCCCTGGAATCTGCAAAAAGGGCTCAGCTCAACAGTGTCTTCCAGCGCCAGGTCCTCCTGCCCACCATGCCCTCTGCACCACCTGGCCTCTGGCCCTTTCCCAACCCACCAGCAAGGGGCTAGGGACCTAGAGCCGGAGGAAGGTGGCTCAGCCCCCTCAGCTAACAGGGAGATAGGCAGGCAGCAGGGCTGCGTGCAGGGCCAGGCGTGCTCTTGGATGGGTGGCAGTGGCTGCTGGGGACAGTGTGGGCAGGATGTGGGGATGTTATCTCCTGGCTACCAATACCTGGCAGTCTGCCGCTCACCTGTCCCCTACGGTTGCCAGGAGGCCCTGCCCTGAGACCCTCCCCCGCTCCCTTCAAGGGACCACTTTTCCTGTTTGTGTGATCCGGACTTTGGACAACAGGGTTTCTCAAAGAGGGGCTCCTCCAGACTTCATGGCCCAAGAGTGGGGAGCAGTTTCCCTTCAAAGAACTTGGCCTTGGGACCCTGCTCCAGGCAGAGAATATCGTGATGCCTTGTGTGTGTGTCCGATATTTTGAATTGTTTTTTAATGTGGTAAAATCTCTCTCTATAAAACCCTAATATGCAAATAGACCAAATGGAGGAACAACTGAACAACTGGTCCCTTCGATGTGCACTGACCACCAGGGGGCGCGTGCAGAACATGGTGGGCATCGCCTGCAGCGAGGAGAGTGCGGAACATGGCGTGCATTGGCCTCGGTGGGATGATGGAGCAGGTGAGCAGGGATGCCAGACCAAGGCAGAGCTCTGGTTGCTGTAATCGG